ATTTCTTTCTCACTTCTGACAGTGGCCTTGGCGTTTACCTAATGCAGTGGTTCTCAACCTTTTTAATGCCGTGACCCCAACCGGTCATAAGTCGAGGACTAAACCGGTCGTAAGTCGACTAAACCGGTCATAAGTCGAGGACTTTCCCTGCCCGGGAGCGCCGCGCATGCGTGGTTCCGCCCCCTGCGCCGGCCGAGGCATAGCTGGCAAGCGGCAGAGACGGAGCAGGCCGACCACCAGCTGGCCCAGCCCAAGGGAGGTAAGGCACCCACCGGAAAAGGGGAAAAAAATGGTGGACAGCCTTGCTTGGCGACCCCCGTGAAATGGTCGATCAACCCCAAATGGGGTTCCGACCCACAGGTTGAGAACCACTGACCTAATGGCTTCTTCCATGCTTTGATGCTCCTATGATGTGCTTGCTTTTTTTCACCCAGGGAGCCTTGTGGAAATTGATTTTTGTCTCCTATGGCAACCTTTTGGGCACCAGGTTTGGTTTTGTTGTTGTTGTTAGTTGCGAAGTCGTGTCTGACTCATCGCGACCCCATGGACCACATTCCTCCAGGCCTTCCTGTCCTCTCTCATCTTCTGGACTCCATTGAAGCTCACGCCTCCAGCTTCAGGGACTCCATCCAGCCCCCTCCTTCTCTGCCGTCCCCTTCTTCTCTTGCCCTCCATCTTTCCCAGCATCAGGCTCTCCTCCAGCGAGTCCTTCCTTCTCGTTAGGTGGCCAAAGTCCTTGAGTTTCAACTTCAGGATCTGGCCTTCTCAAGAGCAGTCGGGGTTGATCTCCTCCAGGACTGACCAGTTTGATCGCCTTGCAGTCCAGGGGACTCGCAGGAGTCTTCTCCAGCACCAGAGTCCAAAGGCCTCCATTCTTTGGCGCTCAGCCTTTCTTATGGTACAACTTTCACAGCCACACATTGCCACTGGGAATTTCCCACCAGTTCTGTGGAGATTTTCCATGGACCGGAGAGTGCGTGGTTGTGTGTGCTGCCTGCATCCCACGGTTGGGGCTTTGCTTCTTTGTGTGGGCCAATTGCTGGCTTGTCGCGGCCCGGTACCAGTCCACGGACCGGGGGCTAGGGACCCCTGCCCTATGCATTTCAGCATTGATGTGGAGTTGCTGGGAAGAAATAGCTAGCCAAGGGGCAGGGGGATGATTTTCATCATGTGTTCCCCCAATTAGATTTTGATTTTCAATCTGCCTTATACGAAAATGCTACTGCGATCATTTTTTAAATGTTTTACATAATTTATTTTCGTTGGCCAGATTGGCGTTGATCCAACTCCTGCTTGTTTCAGAAAAAAACTTTTGGAATATCCATTTTCAAGCAGCTAGAGGCAATCCTATTAATTTTCAGCGTTAATAGGTTGTCTGTAGACAACATATTCTCTTTGTTGTCCTAATTTCAGGCTACTTACCTGAAGTTACCTGCGTGGGTTACAGGTTTTCAGATTACACGCCTCTGTGGATTCTACAGTTGTATTTGTGGGCTGTCTCGCTCTAGTGATAATAGCCAGGGTGGACAATACTGGTATTTATGGCTTTCCCCACAACAGGCCCTGCAGCTACTTTGAGCTCTGATGCCCTCATTCCTCAAAATGGATATTCTGGTTGGGTTGGGAAGGGAGGAGATCAATCTGAGGTTTATTCATTCTGGTTTATGAACTACCAATGAAAGATGCTGCTTGATAGTATTGCAGTTGGAGAAGTCTGAACCAAACCTGTAGGGCAGGGCTCTTCAAACTTGGCCCTTTGATGACTTGTGGACTTCAACTCCCAGAATTCCTCAGCCAGGCACGCGTGCCTGGCTGAGGAATTCTGGGAGTTGAAGTCCACAAGTCATCAAAGGGCCAAGTTTGAAGAGCCCTGCTCTATATTGATGTAATATCATCCCATTATGATGCGAAGGTTGACCAGCTTAAATTAACTCCAAAATTCTGATGCATGGTTATTTTTTTATCTTGAGAGAAAGGATCTGGCAGGTGTTGTCAGTTGATTATATTTTGGTATGTGAATGAGGGATTATTATTACTACTACTACTACTATTGCTACTACTACTGCTGCCACCACCCAGGGCATTCATTAAATGGATGGTAAGAGTATATTCCATTGCAGTTCACAGGTTGGTGGGAAAACATGTCACTTTTTCCTTATCGTTTACTTATCTTCAAAAATACTGTTTATAGAAAACATACATTCAGTGAGTACCTGGGGGATGGTTGCTCCGTATTCCCCCAACTTCCCGGCGACATAAACCTGGATTGTTATTTTGAGGAGTGTTTTAAGCCAATGAGGCTGTAGATAAGCTGTTGTTAGATTTCTCATTTTCTATTATCTGCCAATTTCAGATAATAACTGGAATAATAATAATAATAATAATAATAATAATAATAATAATAATAATAATAATAATAATAATAATAAAGTTGGAAGGGACCTTGGAGGTCATCTAGTCCAACCCCCTGCTCAGGCAGGAAACCCTATACCATTTCGGACAAATGGCTGTCCAGTCTCTTCTTAAAAACTTCCAGTGTTGGAGCATTCACCGCTTCTGGAGGCAGGTTGTTCCACTGGTTAATTGTTCTAACTGTCAGGAAGTTTCTCCTTAGTTCTAGGTTGCTTCTCTCCTTGATTAGAATAACTAGAACACAGGTGCCAGTGCTAAGTCTCTCGATAATCCTTACTCTTTCTAACATAAATTTGTAGTAAGATAAGATAACCTTTATTGTCATTTTTTTTTACTGTGGGCACGACGGCACACATCAAAAATGAAATTTAGTTGCCCGCTCTCAAAGTGAAACACATACATGACACACACCTAAAACATACTATGTACAACCCTGGAAGTTTTTAAGCAGAGACTGGACAGCCATTTGTCTGAAATGGTACAGGGTTTCCTGCCTGAGCAGGGGGTTGGACTAGATGACCTCCAAGGTCCCTTCCAAATTATTATTATTATTATTATTATTATTATTATTATTATTATTATTATTATTATTATTATTATAACATATGTATAGACCAGGGGTAGGCAACCTTGGCTCTTTTATGACTGGTGGACTTCAACTCCCAGAATTCCTGAGCCAGCATGGGGGAAACTATGGCCCCCTCATGACTCGTGGACTTCAACTCCCAGAATTCCTGAGCCAGCATGGCTCAGCTTGGAAACCTCTCCCTTTCCCCTCAGCATGGCTGGCTCAGGAATTCTGGGAGTTGAAGTCCACGAGTCATAAAAGAGCCAAGGTTGCCTACCCCTGGTATAGACCCATACCCCTACATATACATAACAAATAAATATTAAATGTTGTCCATCTTGAATACATAACGGAAGGAGGAAGCTTAAGAGTTCACAAGGTTAACGCTGTAATGGAACATAGTATCTGTGAATGTGAACATAATTACAAATAGCTTGATAACTCTTACGATTTCTCACCTGAAAAGTAGTATATATATGAATGCTTTAAATAAGTCCATGAAATCTGGAGAGTCCATGCTAAGCAATTGCCAAGGAAAGCTAACAAACCAGGCTCGAAAGAGTATTTCCCATAAACAACAAAAGGTGGTTTGTTTTTTGAAAGGTACCTTATGAAACATTGAACAAGCGGTTCCGGGCTGCCCAGAAAAATATCGATCGAGAAACCAGCCACGTGACCATGGTGGTGGCAGAGCTGGAGAAGACCCTGGGCAGCTGCCCAGCTGTGGATTCCGTGGTCAGCCTCCTGGACGGCGTGGTTGAAAAGCTCAGTGTCCTGAAACGGAAGGTAAACTTTTCCTGCCTCCTTTTTTTATTATTTGGGTTTGTTTTTTTTTTAATTTTTCCAGTTCTCTGGGAGTTTTCAAGATTTCAGTTTTCAAGACAAAGAGAATCGTTGTTTTGACACAACTTATGTCTTTATTGCACGTACTGCAATCTTGGGTGACTGCTCAGTGAAGGAATCCAGCCCCTTCAGCTAACTGGAATCAGAGTTTACTTTTCCTTAATAAAAAAACACGATCCGCAGTGTGCCGGTTCTTGCTTGAGATCAGAGGTTTTACGTCGTCCCAAGGCCTGCGAAATCCCCCGAGTTTCCGGGTTTTATTTTGTTTTTTTTGAAAAACAACAACCCTTAAAAACATTTTAAAAATAAGCAGAATCTTGCAAGATCCGCGATGACATTCTTTGCAATTCAAGGTATGTGTGTGCTGTAGCTTCAGAATGGCTTTATTTTTAATAAATTGTGTTTTCTTGGCACAATAGCAAAAGAATTCCCGCTGCAGGGGTTGCTGATCTTCCACGCCAGGGGAACTTTTGAGCCATTCCTCTGGGATTAATCCAAAGTGGCATTAATCGTGCATCTGGAGTCTGAAAAACAGGGCCTTCGCACAGCCTCTTCGCTGCCTTAAGCAAATGATTGAGGAAGTATGGTGTCTGCTAGCTCCTCCCCCACACACTCAAAGGTGTGTTTTCCTGGGATTGTGTAGTTACAGTAGCGGCCAAAATTGTGGAAACCTTTTGGGAAAAGTGTATTCTTGAGGTTGGATGGCTAATAACACCACTTTTTTTGGGAGTAGTGCCATAAACTTATATATCAATGGAAAGATAATTTAATCAACAATGTCATGCAACAAAGTTTGTTCAATTATCTGTACTGTATCCTATGAAAAGTTGCAGCCAAATAACCAGAAAAAGGAAGCACAACTTGCTCAGGTTGATCTCAGGTAGCTTTCCTTCACCTGATTGTAGCCAATGAGCATGACTGTTTAGAGAGCCAATCGGTGTCCTCTTGTTTTGGCCATGAGCCAATCAGATCACAGTAGGATCCAGTTATTGATCTCATGGATTGAAGCTGAGAGGAGGACATTTGTCAGTGTGTTATGTGATCGCTGTCGAGCTGGTTGGGTTTTTTTGTGTTCTTTCATTTAGTGAGCTTGCAAAACATCATAAAATTAAAGTCATGGTGCAAAGAGTTGACCGGTTGCCCAGAAAGCAATGTAAAATGATATTATTAAGTGAAC